GAAGCTTTAATACCTTGAGAACCTTTTTTTTCTTTTGGCTGGTGATGATGGGAGTGATAGAAAATGGAAAAATGGCTGCCTTGCAATCTTAATGACGTGATGAATTTTTATTGAAGCTGGAACTATTGTCTTCGAACTTCTTCCTAAATTGTTTTCTCATTGTGCAACCTTTCCTGAGAGTGGAGGGAACTTCAAGTGCAACATTATTTGTGAATTGAACGTGCATGCACAATAACTAACCTAATAGGACGGCCTTGATGTCACCATGCTGCTTGCAAGAGGGGAATGTTTAGTGGCTATCCTTATGCATCTGAAAGTTTGTGTTGTTTTGTAGTTTTATTTATATGATTGCAACTTACTATAGAAAATTCATTGTTGTGTTACACGATGCGAAGTTCTCTAATGCCACAGTTTCACTTTGGAAGTACATGCCATATTGAGCTGTGGCTTGTTTGAAAGACCTTCAGTTTGATTCTGGATTGTTATACACTTCCTTGGCTGTAATGAGACGGCATACTTTTCTATTGTCCTGAAATTTTGCAGAATGAAATCAAAATGTTCTTTCAAAAATTAGGTCTTGTTTGTTCACACCCAACAGTAATTACCAGTGCATGTGAAATAATTGAACACGTAGCCATGTCATACTACACAGAACTAAATTTATTTCCTGTTACGTGTTGGAATGTGTACAAAATGAATTATGGTGCCAAGAATGACATAATATGCACCGTACTTCCTATAGATTGAATTTTCCTATATGAATGACATAATATGCACCGTGCTGCAGCACATTTGAACAGTAGCATGTTGCTGGATTTTCATGTCTTCTTTTGGAATCAAAGTTTATAATTCTCTCACGCCAGACTCCACTTTGGTTTTTTTGGTTGATACAAGTGAAAGAATAAATGAGAAAATGCAAGAAAATCTATTACCATCTAGGGACTGGAGCTTTAGTGGCATCCCCACTCAAAGAGTGAGCTAATCTGTCTGAAAATAGTCTTTCCAGGAGGGTGCTCTGGCCATAATGTTGAGTCCATCAGTACATGCGTTAGCCTCTTTACACACGAGTCTGATGGCATACCAGCCCTATTGCTAAGAGTGCTGAAATTATGATTAAGTGAACCACTAAGGTCCAGCTCTGCATCTGAGAATCCATAACAAAGAAAAACTGCTTGGGCACAACTTGTCTGACTCAGAAATCACTTCAAGGATAGCCTCTATTAAATCGTAAATTCCTTTTACCTCAGCAGTAATGCTGGTGATGGAGAACCGGGCCTGCCTGAAAGCTTGAAGTCCATATGGCCCACACCTACTATTGGTGACGTGGGAAAGAAGGATAGAATTAGGGCTTTGCTTTTATAATTATTATTGAATTTTAGGGTTTTATTTATGGTAATAGGAATTTTAGGGTTTTTCTTTGATGCTTATTTATATGTTGGTTTAGACATTGTGAAAGAGAGCTTTGATGGTTGATGATTGATTATTATTCAGAAATTATTGTTTTTCTCCCTCAATTCTGATTTCTCCCTCTGTGATTCTTCTCTTCTCTCTCATTCTGATTTCTTCCCCTATTATTCTTATTCTATTTCTCTCTCTCTTTCTTAACCTCTTTCTTATTTACTTGAATTCTGTTTTCGAATCCCCCCTACCCACTGCTGCATCAGTTGGTTTATGCTAAATCCAATAATCGATTCTCCTTGCATGAAGAATCGATCATCCTGCAGCTGCTGGTTCTGAATTTCCAACTAAGGCTGCATCCTCATAAATTTTAAACCAATATGGTGAGAAAGTCCAAGGGTCCGTTTGGCAATCATAGTTGCTTTGTGCTTTTGCTTTGACTTGAAGCAGAAGCAATTTTTCTGCTTTAGAGCGTGTTCAACACTATTTAGAAGCTTGTTTGGCAACGTAAATTTTTTACAAGATTTTTAGAAGCAAAAACATGAAAGCATGTTTGGTTGAAAATTTAAATGGTTAGTTAAAAATGTTATTTTAGAAAGAAAAAAAATTTATTTATTTTTTAACAATGTTTTGCTACAGTGCGGAAGCAAACAAAAACATCATTTTGATGCTTTCGATTTTGGCCTCAATTTTGAAAGCGCTTCGGTACTATTCAAATAATAGCAAATATTACCAAACATGCTTCGTGCTTTTACTTCGCTACAATACACTAGCAAAAGCAAAAAACACGAAATAAAAGCATTAGCAAAACAGGAGGCAAGAGTTTGAGGCTGAATGAGCTGGCTCTGGTCTTGGCCTGCTTGCTGTGGTTGAATCTATAAAATCTTGAGTGAAGACGTGGATACATGGGGAATGGAGCATAGAGGTCAAAAAGAAGCTTGCTGGGGCAGGTGCAAAGATGCCAAATAATAATATGAAATAAGTGGAAAGAAGAGAGGCCAATCAGTGGAAAGAAGGGTTTTGACTTTGGCTGAACTATTTGGAGTTTGTCTAAAGAAGAGGTACGGGTTAAAAGAAAGTTTTTTCTTCCTGAGCTAAAACTTTTCCCATACTGCTCAGCAAATGAGCAATCTCTGTGAACATAGAGTACTCATTAAAGTTGCAACATCAATGACAAGATTAGTGTTGTCTATATGTCTGTTGAACCCTGCTATAATAAATAAGATGGAGTTCTTTTAATCCTTAAGATCAGGGTCATCAAATCTACAGGTGCACACGGTTCCGTTTGGTCACCAAACCGGTCCCTAGAGTTCCAAAAATGTTAGAACCAAATCAAACTGTAGATCATCAGTTCAGTTTGGTGCAGCCTATTCAAATCCATGTAGAACAAAATTATTCTGGATGTCTCACCACTTGATTGCTTTCCATCTCGTGACTACGAATTGATTACCCTTTCTAGCTGTTCTTGATCATTAAGAAAATCAAGTCGTAGGAGTGAGTGCATCAATTTTATTGGATGATGTATTTAGCATCATGATTTTTTTTTGGGGTTTTTTAATAGGGTTTCCGTCTGTGGTAATATATTGAAGAATTTCACAAACTGTGGTGATAGAGGTTTTACAATAGCGATTTTTGTTGTGAAGATATCCGGAAGGAAATTATAAATTTGAAGTTCATAAATAAATAATATAGTTTCCCCTTTTTTTATTTTATTTGATATAGGATTGATATAGCCAACCCGTAGTAGTTGGGAAATGGTTTTGTTTAGTTGGGTAGATTAAGTATTTTTGTTAAGATCCACGATGGAACATTACAATAATGCGGCTTAAAAGCACTACTACCTAATCTACCCTGCTTGTTTGACCCTAGACATGGATCAATTAGGTTGACCTCTGCTTACCATCTGATCAATAGGTCATCGCATTCTTCCTTCATCTATGACGCTTGTAGAAGGAGCAGAAAATGAACCATTGTTTTTCTTTTACACAATATTATGGGGGTGTTGGAAGGTTGGTGTTCTTGTAGAACAATTTTTCAGATTTACTTTTCTTCAAACTTAGTTTGATTTGGTATAAAAGTAACAAACCATTAATAAACCAAATTTTATATTAATTATATACATTTTTTCACATTAGGATCTCATCATGTAAACATATTTGTGCTTTGGGCACTGCTTTCTATTTGCACTCAAAGACTGTTACAACAAATGCAGCGAACCAAGAAACAATTACGAAACACAACAGAAAAACAAACACACCACACAAAGAATACAAAGATTTATACAAGGTTTGGCAAAGCCTACGTCCACGGTGGAGATCTGGCAAAAGACTTCACTATGTGTTTGGAGATTACAAGTTTCAGCCCCTCTCTTTCTCTTTGTACGATTTTTTACGTCTCTTGATGATCACGCTCCAAACCTTAAGCGCCCTTATATATCGGGCTACAAGATAGTAATTCGGAAGGGGTGGGATGATTTTGTTAATCATATCTGTTTTTGACTCAGGGATGATAGGAGGATTAGTTTTTGGGAGGATGTTTGGCGTGGTGATGTTCCTCTCGCTCTCGCCTTTCCTCAGCTTTTTAGGATTGCTACGGATAGGCAGGCCATGGTGGTCAACTGTTATCATCTTGATAATGGGAGACTGGTGTGGGATGTTCGATTCGGGCGATTGCTTCAGGACTGGGAGATTGAGGAGACTATTCGTTTTTTGGATCTGTTGTATCGCTAGAGGATTGTGGCTGAGGATTCTGATTGTTGGACTTGGGCTGATAACTCTCAGGGGCGTTTCGAGGTTAGGTCCTTTTTCAAGTGCCTCACGGATGACCCTAGGGATTTCTTTCCTTGGAAGTCCATTTGGCGCTCAAAGGCTCCTCTCAAGGTGGCCTTTTTTGCATGGTCCTCTGTTCTGGGAAAGATTTTAACCTAGGATAACTTAAGGAGGAGAAATCAGGTGGTGGTTAATCATTGTTATATGTGCCTTTGCGATGACGAGACAGTGGATCATCTTCTCTTACACTGCACCGTTGCTAGAGCCTGCTGGGATTTGATGATTGGCTTGTTTGGGTTTCCATGGGTTATGCCTTGTTCTGTGAGAGGGTTGATTGAGGCCTGGAGTGGTTGCTTTGTGGGAGCCCTCATTCGGGATGCTTGGAGGGCTACACCTCTGTGTGTATGGCGGTGTTTGTGGCTCGAGCGGAATAGGAGATATTTTGAAGGGTAGGAGATGTCGATTTCTATGCTTAAATTCTCTATTCTTTCCACTCTTTTTTGTTGGGTTTCAGGGAGAGATTATAGTTCTTTAGAGGAGATTGTTGATTTTTTGGCCTCTTTGAAGGCTTAGGTCCTTTGTGGCCTTTTGTTCTTTCTTGGGTTTCGCTCCCCTTTTGAGCGCTTTTATACAATTTTACTTATCAAAAAAAAGATAGTACTAATTAGGCTCCACGACCCATGAGCAAAAACTGGTCATTGCGACCCGACACCAAATTCGGGCCACAACATCACAAATACCATGGCAATTCTTGCTGCTGATAATGCTTACTGCTGAAACTTTATTTTGCTTGTACTGTTGATAGAGATGTTAATTAATTCTAAAACTTTGTAGGGCTGATGAATGGGATGTTAATAAGTGGGCATGGGAGGGTACATTGAAAGTTATTAGCAAGGGAGAAGAATGCATTATTAAACTTGAAGATAAGACAACAGGTGCGGTTATATTGAGTTACTATTTTAAAAATAGCATGGAATATTCTTTTGCATTATTGATATATCATTTCTGCTAATCACTTGATATATTCGAAATAGGTGAACTGTATGCTCGGGCATTTTTGAGAGATGGAGAGCCGCATCCAGTAGAGCCTGTAATCGATAGCAGCAGGTTTGGTGCATTTATTACTGGATCAAAACTCCATCTTCGCTGAATAATGTCAGAAAAAGGGTTCTTTAATCTATGAACAAAATTACTGTTATCATTGACTTCAAAACCTGGTATCTGTAGTGTCTAAACTTTCATTTACATATTTTCTGCAGATACTTTGTTCTTCGCGTAGAAGAGAATATTGGTAATTTACAATGCTTCTTCCATATCCTTTTCAAGTTATGTTTTTTTTTATATTAAAAATGTCTTCTTTTTGTTCATTAAAATAGCATAATGATTGTCTGACATGCTCTTATCCATTCATAAGCTGGCTTCTTGTTACATTCTCTATAATTTCATTTATCATTGATAACATAAATTTTAAAGGAAAGAAGTGGAGAAGGCAAATTAGAAGATCAGCTTAGGGCAACATAATTACTCTATAGACATTCTTAATATCAGAGTTCATTGTATCATTACCTGATCTTTGGTACTTTTGTTTGCATATCACTTTCTAAAAGCACAATCGTATATCAAGGATGGATATCCATCAGCTTTGAAACATTGATGACTATAACCTTTGTGTAAATTGAAATAGGCCAAATTGCACTAAACCACTGTAGTTTCAAAAAGTTACAAAATACCGCCTCTACTTCCTTTTTTTGGCAACAAACACCCTCAATTTACAAGCTGTTGCAAATTACCCCCTTTTGGTTGACTGAGAACTAACTGGAGTTAAGGCCCATAGATAGGGGAGGCAACATGGCTATATCTAATCCTTGTACTCCCACTCGGTCCTCCAGTAGTAGTAGTGTTAGTAGCACCAGTTGTTGAATTGTTCGGCGCTGCTGTCAATTCTCGTGTTCTCTTTGCATTCAGATTGGCCGGCTGGAACTCGTGCTTGTCCAGATGGCCGTTGGTGACTGAACTGCCGACCTGCCACACCTGGTTCACCGTCATCATGTTGTTCACCAATGTCAGTGTCGCAAATATCCTCATGACGTCGCTGGAGTACTTGGTGGTGGCATTGGGCACGTCGAACGAAAGCTTCGATGGCATGATTGATTTGTAGGAGCTGATATTGTACTGTGATCGAGCCGTTCGATTCCTTGAGCACCAAAAGTGCCTATGCTCTGGCCATTCCGGTGCCAGAGGGAAGCCAGTAGGAAATATATCGAATTTGGAAAGTTACCTTGCAGCCAAACCATATATAGCAAAGATCTATTCCTCAGGGGATGTTCAAAAAGTCCAGAAACAAATTTTTCTCTCAGGATTCATTCAACAGCATCATCAATTCTGGCCACTGATATCTCCCCTGATTCCACAAGATGCAACAAATCCTGCAAAAACATTTCGTATCGGAAAGGTACCATCACCTGCAAATTTTCTTAGTAAGAAAAAAAGGAGACATGAATTATGTGGAAGAACCTTCTAGTTTGGTCATTTAAGGAAGAGTTTAGTCACTACCATGTCAATTCCTGCATTGACAGCAGACAAGATGCAGTTCTGGTAGTTTGATCCATGAGGCTGCAAAAGTTGGTGGAGTGCTTTTGAATCAGAAATAACAAAACCTGAAGCAGAAAGTTACCTGAGATTTTTCTATTTGTAATGCTGCACTTTAGGGTTAGACAATTTCGTTATCATAAGCCAACCAGAAGCTAAATAGATTTCTATCAGCAGTACAATGTCTTAATTTATCAATCAAAAACAAATAACTACAAAACAAAACTGGTACAGTTTGTGTAGACGTTGTTAGGGAATTTCTGTGAATGACGATGGGTTGCTTCCCCACTCTTATCTATGGGTTTTTATGTAATTTTACCCCATCCCTTGACTCTATTTAGTTCTCAGTCAGCCAAAAGGGGGCAATTTGCAACCGTTTGTAAATTGAAGGAGTTTGTTGCCAAAAAAGGACCGTTTGTAAATTGAAGGAGTTTGTTGCCAAAAAAGGGGGGTATTTTGCAAGTTTTTGAAACTACAGGCTGGTTTAGTGCAATTTGGCCATTGAAATACAACTATATTGCATGGAAAATAAATGAGAAAGAAGGCGGCAAAGAACAAAAAGTTGAGAAGAAGAGGGGTGTCAAGATAAATTTACACTTAGACTTACCCTGTATTGTTAAATTCTTGAGAATTAATAGTTAGAATCAATTTAATCTCAACTAAAAACATCTAGGCATACAAGGATAATGAAAGAGGTTAGTGGTCACAATGTGAGTTGGCAGTTTAGTTCCTAACTTGTGTTGTAAGGCAACCTTATGTGCAAGTTTAATACTATATAGTTTTTGAAAGTTTAATATATATTTGTAGTCCAAGTATCTTATACCAAGTGAGAGTTGCGTGTATCAAAAATGAATTGGACTTTGGGTTTGCACTAGAACCTAGAAGGGGTTAATATATTCTAATTTATTTCGATTGCTTATTCTCACCCTTATCTTATTATCAAATATTAGTTCACAAACGATAAAAATAAACCAAACAACCATACATGTGACACAATTCCTTTTTTTCAAAAAGGGGAAACAGGAGAAACCACTAGGACGATATCTGAGCTCAACAATCCACTAATAAAGAGTATAATGTAACTCTGCTAGCCCAGAGTCTATAGTCTAGAATCAGCAGTCCATCAATGTATCTGTGATGTATAAAGTCTGCATCCAGTCCAAACTCCTTAAAATATCCAGTCGGCTGCTTTTTATGTCAAAAAGATTTACTCTTCACAATCTGCTTATTTAGCAGTGGTTGCTAGCCAGCAAATCACGAACCAAAGTCTCAAGACTTGATTGTGAAAATGATGATGATGACCATGACAATTGTAGATCTCACACACGTACCATATGCCCAAACTCAGAAGTACATAAATGATCAATATGAAAAAGAAAATTGAGAAAACAGAAAACTTGATATAAACAGATTTGAATGGAATCTCCACAAGTTTCTTCTCTTATTCTTCCCTAGTTCCATACCTCTCATTCAGAAAAAAAAAAAAAAAAAAAGGTTGGAAAAATAAGTTAAACCTTAGTCAGTGTTCAATTCTTTGTGACCTCGAGTACTTGTGCCAAACGTAAGTACTGGTTCTCAACGCCCTGTTTCGTAGAAAAGCACTCAAAACACATCCCAAAATTTTCAAGAACACTTTCAAGCTTAAAACAAGTTTTCAAATGATTATTTTCCGAAGTCATGGTCTAAAACACTCAACATCATTGTAGTTATGGTCCAAAATAATGATTACTCTCCATGTTGAGAACATTCCCAAACTCTTTCGCACTCTTCAACCAATTGTGACTTTGATGCTTTGTCAATTGATCTAGTCTTGACATTTAGTTCTAACCAAAACTCTTCTGTTACAGCACTTTTTGTTATGTAATTTTCCAACCTAACTTTATGTACCTAATCGTGTTGGCTGCCACATGTACTTGTTACAAAGCAATATTTCCATTATGTACTCACTATTCCCCTTAAGGAGCAGATGAATATTATAATGGTTGAAGGCAAAACTAAATGATAATGTGCAAGAGAAAACATTAGTAAACATGCAGACTAGAGTATACTTCATTGAACATCACCACAAGCAACTATCTCTCAGAAAGTCGCATTCAATCTCAATACATGTAGTCTTTTCATTGAAAACTGTATTGCGATTTGATGCAATGTGAATAGCAGTCTGATCATCACAGCATACAACAGCTATAGGAAGCAGTGGCAAACTCATTTCTATTAGTAAAGTTTACTTTAAATCATCTCTAGAACAAATAGAGACATTTCTTTGTCCTCTTGCATCGGCACTTGATGGAGCAACTGGATCTTGTTTTCTACCATTGGAGCCTCTATATTCTCAACGATCTTTATCTTAGTATCCTAAAACCACCCAACAGAATTCAACAGGAATCATCTGCTATAATTTCCATCTCTTTTTAGACAACTCCTTAGTGTAGCATTGAAGAACCCAAGCCATCATAATTCTTTGAAATAGATGCTCCATATTGCAAAAGTATGGAGCCAGTGGATTTTACAAAACGAGAAACTAAGTGGACACTTACATTCGACTTGATGTACCGGTTAAAGAAAATCAATCTTGTTAAGGCAAGACAGGCAGTAGCTGGGTTAATAATTCGGAGTGAGTCTGGCAGTTTTAAGTGTCACATGGTGCAGAGCATCTAAGGATATATATGTACATGTATATGTAAGTTTTGCATGTTTTTCAAACTCATAGATATGTATGCCTTTGCTGTACAGAAAGCTCCATTTTGGTCTTGTTGTGGGGGTAGACTAGGTATGAACTAACTTCTAATATTGTTTTTATGAAATGGCTGTTCTTAAATTTGAATCCGAATTTTCATGCTTGACAATTTGAGCATTTACCCAAACAGTGGTCCATTATACCTATAATACACATAAATATTGAAATACATAATGCAGTCAAATTAAACAAAAAGAAGAGGATGGTGCTTGGTGGTTCTTCTGTGTGGAAGGGATTAAAAGGTGATCCACTGACTCTGTTCCCCACTTGAAGAATCTTGTGACCAGACAAGACTACACTCACCATTTTGAGAAACAGCTACATAATCCTTCACCAATGCAACTATAATCTTTGTGATTGAGAAGAGATATAGAGAAGAGATCAAGGGGCATGTCAAGAGCAGCAGACACTGGAAGAAAAACCATCAAGGAGCACTTAGTTAACTAAAATTAATTTTTTCACATTTCATCTGAAGAAGTTCCACATCTGGTTTTGATTGCCAATCTCCTTAGTTAGCCATATATAGTCAGAATAAATGACGTATGAAGATATTGATCTTGTTGGTTTTATGTTGCCATTTTCTTCCTCTTAGTTCTTAAGAAAGGTTACTTATCAAGTTTGCTTTTGAGTTGATTGGTCCAGGGTCTGTACCAAATCCAACCTGTTTAGAGAGAGTCAGGAATATTTTGCTTGGAACTGATCCCTTTAATAAAGCAGCCATCAAGCCCCATAAATTGCAACCCAGTTAATCCTCATAGTCCAATTTTACTAGTTCTAATATATAGTGTGGTTATGCAATGGATTTTAAAGTTGACTGCTCTCAAAAATTAAAATGCAAGTATGGGTTGCTATATTTTAGAATTTGTGAGGCATTTATGTCTGATGCTTAAAATGTTTAATTTACTCATTAGAAGTGTCCATGCAGCAGAGTCTAAATTAGATAGCTGGCATATGCATTTGCCTAGGTCACCAAGCTGCCCCAGATGTCATGTAGGTAAATGTCAAGTGGATGCTCCAATAAGATCAATTTTAGTTCTAATGTCATGGTGTTTAAAAGGGGCATTACTCAATTCTGGTCTCGCTACGGCAGGGTCCTGGGGATGGAGGATTCAAGAGACCTAACATTTGATAATCCATAAAGTTGCTGCTTTGAGGTGAACCACACCAGTGGCACTGTGATCAAGTGCTAAACCACCGAACTATGATGTTTAACTAAAGATAATAATATTACTTCTAATAATTATTTGAGTTGATGGATTAGAAGACTTGACCACGCTTTTGACTTGGTTGCTTTAAATAGTTCTGTTCATTGTAACTTTATCACCTTGCTTGGAATTTTTTTTGGGTTAAGTGCAAAACACACCCATACGATATACCGTTTGTGCATGATCACCCATTACTTTTTAAAATGAGCTGTGTCAGCCCTAATTTCGGAAAAAGGTGCAACTACCCCCCTCTGTGACATTTGACATAAAGTAAATGTATTATTCCGGGTTTTCCCTTTTAGCATACCCAAAATGCCCTCGTTGCAAATGCTATTTTAATTCCACATTTTAATCCTTTCTCACCTCTCCCTACCTCTCTCTCTATGTACGTCTCTCTCTCTCTCTCTCTCTCTCACTGAAGTGAAGGACTCATAGGCTAATGAATTTGAAATCCCATAAGGGGCTTTGCCATTCATCAGGAACACGTCAGGAAAATTAGCAAGAGACATCATTTTGATTTGCATCCATGACCTAACCACCTGTTACAATTAACCAAAAACTAAAATATATATATTTTTGATAAATAAGCAATTCATTAAAAAAGCGTTCAAAAGAGGAATGCTTCCCTAACAAAACCATAATAACCTGGGTACCCTAAGGCCCCAGGGAAGCGAAAAACTCAATAGTCTCCTCAGCAGAAAAACAGAGTCTACCCGAACCCCCAAAACAGAGAGAGCTAATAATAGAAGATTTCAGAACACTGATGGAAGATCCCTCTCCTTCAAAGGATCTTTTATTCCGCTCCCTCCACAAACATCACCAAAGACACAGAGGCGCCATCATCCGAAACCCTCGAGCCTATGCTCCCACCCAACCCCCTCTCCAGATGTCTATCAGACCTCTCGTAGATCTAGGCATGACCCAATAAACTCCAAATAAACATGGCAAAAGGTTCCAACAATCAACCACCACTGGACAATGCAAGAGAAGATGATCAATCGACTCGCCATTGCACTTATAGATGCATCACCAATTCACCGTGATAAGCTTTCTCCTTATCAAATTATCCAGCATCAAAATTTTACCCCACACGCCTTAGTTTGCCACACTGCCTTCCAAGGGAATACCACCCCATCCGAGTCCAGCAGGCATCCGAAAAAAGATCTCAGACTAAACATTCCCCTAGCAGAAGAAATCCAAACAAGAGAGTCCCTACCTCGTCCCCGGATCACCTGGCTATACAACAACTCAAAAAAACCAAAAACATCATCCATTTCCCAATGCTAAAAAGATCGCTGAAAAAGCACATCCCAAACTGGTCTCCCGCTATCAAGGCAATAGCAACTAAAGTATAAGCATCAAAGGAATGATTAAGAACACTGACTACCACTTGTGATCATTGCTTACCTTGTAATCGGTGTAAAACCAATCACCGATCAGAAGATCAAACTCTGCTCTGGTCTAGAGAAGGGGACATTGATGACATTGCGATTGTTGACACGAATGGGTCCAATTCCTCCTGTAACCTTTTGGAAGTTGATGGAGGGGAAGTAGGTGAAAGTGCCAATCTGGTCTTTGGTCACACAAACACATAAGTCCAGTTCTGACCGGGTCCAATTCCATCATGCCATGAGTTTAGTCTCTGTTGTATGCCATTCCTAGACAAGCACCAACCCATTTCTTCAAATCATTTTCTACTATGTCAATTTGGGGTCTACCCGCCGCGGGTGGGGGACAATGGAGTTTCTATCGGATGAATTAGGGCTTGATCGGTTATGGGTAAATGGGTCTTGATTGCTCTTTCTATTCTTAGTTTTATTGTTGAAATTGGTTGTTGTGGCTAATATGGGTATCTAGAGATTGAATTTGGCACTCTGGGCTTTGAATGGCTTTTAATATCTCTAACAGTATGGCCACCACGATGGTGGTGGCTATGTGGTAACAGTACTGGCATATGGTTAAGTGTCAACAGGAAAAGAAGTAGACTGAACATTAACAATGAGGAAATATCCACCATATTCAAGATGGTTAAGTGTCAACAGTGACTCAGGTACCTGCACCCATCTCTGCACTTCTGTCACTTGAGTTATCATGTTTTCCCACTTTGCCTTGTATTTCAATCACGCACACTGAGACTTGGTGTGTATTTATTCCTTTAAGTATACTGTGCCAAAATTCCAGTTTATATATGCTACAATCATTGACCACCTACTTTTGTGGTTAACTCAGTCTAAATGCAAATAACTCACTGTTTTCATCACAGCAGAACCTTCAATTATGTGTGTAATAGCAACATTCCTGAGAGCCCATCAAACTGCAAACTTTGGGTCATGGACCCTTGCTAGCCCTTTAGTATTTCGCTTGCATTAAAAACTATTAACCGTTAATGCTACACCATCTTTTTTTCTCTGCCTCCTTTTTTCCCCCCTCCCATGAATCATACTTGTTTGAAATTCATACAGATGGTCGCCTTCGGCATGCTTTCATCGGTATTGGATTTCGAGAAAGACCTCAAGCTTACGACTTCCAAGCTGCTCTTCATGACCATATGAAGTATTCTCCCGACCATAGCTGTACAGTTGATTTTGCAAATGATTTCCCAGCACCTAAAACTTGTATGAACTAGCTATCTTCTTTAATTGTTTATAGGTACTTGGACAAAAAGAAAACTGCTGAAGAGATGGAACAGCACTACGAGAAAACTTCCTCAGTTGATTATAGTTTAAAAGATGGGGAGACCCTTGTCCTCAATTTAAAAAATGTGAGCTCTCTTGCATCTCTTATCCGTTTTTTTCCAGTGACAAACTGTGTTTTTGTATAGTCTGATAGAACTTTTACTCCTTTTGGTGTCAACAGAAAGGTGGTGGCACTGTGAGGTCCAAATTTTTTGAGCAGAGTTCGAATAATCTACCACCGGAGGAAAAGGGTAGTCCGAAAGAGCCTGCGTTATGCATCAAACCTCCACCACCTCCACCAGCACCACTCTCTCCTGTTACTGGTGAGAAGTCTCCCTCACACTCGCCTTCAAATCTTAGTCTTGAAGGAACTTCTGAAGTCAAAGTCTCGGGCTCAGCAACCGAACAATCTAAAGAACCACATCCTGAAAAGCAAACCGCACAAGATATACCAGATGACGACTTCGGGGATTTTCAAACAGCTGGGTAGTATTGTTTCTGGAACTGATGTGTTTATACTTGAATTGATGGCTTGGTGTATATGATTATATATATCACTTCAAAATCTAATATTACACCTTGGAGAGTTACTTTTGAGATTGAACAGTTCTCAGTGGATATTTTTTGATTGCCGCCATTTAGAAAATTTGATGTTTATCAATATTTACGGGAGTATAGCTGCATAAACTGTCTGGATCGATATCATGTCCTGGCTGGATTGGTTTATATTATGGATTTCATTTTTCATTATTTCAATTACTTCAAAATTTATCAGTAGGTATTGAAGAGTTACATTTGGGATCAAACAGTGCTTCTAGGCGGATATTGGTGATTGCCTGCATTTAGAAAAGTTGGCTACCAATTACGTACAATTCAATTTTTATATACTATTTATAAAAGTGTGTAGCATTTTTAATTTTTGTAAGTTTTTTTTTTTTTATTTAAATTTTATTTTAGTTTTTTACGTTTTAAAATTAGGTTAATAGTTTCCTAATTCAATTAAAAGTTGGCTACCAATTACGTACACAATTCAACAATTGTGATTTTTCAGATTTGTTCCTAGTCTTGTGAACCCTCGGGTCCATCACCTCTCTTTATATTATTTATTTAACTACCAATTACAATTTTGCAGTTGTAAATGGTGATGTGAAATTACATTTAAATGGTTCTTTCTAAGTTGAGCCAAATGAAAATCAATATAATAGTTAATTGAGAGTGGTTTTCACAAATAAGTGGGACATAATTCTATAAAATAATGTATTTTTATTGATTGGGCATACTAATAATATGGAACATTCGGTACATTGAATATCTTCTCCCAAAACAGAGACCTTTTTTTAATATGAAAATATTTTATTTTATTTTTTCATTTACATTTCAATATACAAGTTTAACAGTAACACTATAATCATCACTTCAATTAGGATACATACTTAATATTTGTTGTACCTCTTTTCACTATCTTAATCATATTTTTAAGTATTTGATTAAATATAATTAATATTTAAATCTTGATTTTATTATTAATGGATTCATTTTTTTGGTTTAGTAACTCCAACACACCCAGCTTGACTATTTGATGAATGTAATTATATGTATCATTGAAAGTTTAGAAAATTTTAATACATAGTAATTCTATTCTTGTTATTTTACAGGTTCAAACCTAAATCATCTTACGTGTCTTTATATCACAACAACTTCACATCGTTAATGTAATATTTTACATTATTTATACAACAATTCCGTTACATAATTGTTTCACGGTGTTACATTTCATAATGTAGCTATTCTATTAATACGTAGCGTGTTGCATTACTAGTACAACAAAATAAGTGCAAGTCCACTGGAGGGGATCCAATACAAAATAAGTGCACGTGACCTCTCCACTGGAGGGATACGGTGTATTTTATTTGTTCATACACGTGATTTCATAATATACAAGTTTATCCATAATACTATAATCGCTTCAATTAGGATACATACGAAATTAGAATTATTTAATATTTGTTGTACCTCTTTTCACTATTTTAATCATATTTCTTTTGCTAATTATTTGATTAAATATAATTAATTTAATTTTTTTAAAAATATTATTTGGCATAGTAACTCGAACGCACCCAAACTCTATTCCATGAATTTAGTTACATGTATCACCGAAAAGTTTTTCTAAATTTTAATACATAGTAATTCTGCTTCTATTATTTATACAAGTTCAAACCTATATCATCTTTGCGCAATTTTCATTATGTGCCTTTACATCACAACAAATTCACATCGTTAACATCACTTATGCAACAACTCCGTTGCATAATTGTTTTATAGTGTTGCATTTCGTGATGTAACTATTTCATTACGATGTAGTGTGTTGTATTATCGATAATAATAAGTGCACACAATCTCTACACGGGAGGGGATTCGGGTTCTATTCTTCTCCCCTATAAGTGTCACAAAATTATTGGAAAGATGCTCAAATGCTAATAGCAAAAGAAAACTTAGTTTTTTTATTTTTTTATTTTCTACCCCTAGTAAGTAAATCAAAGACATTATAAATAAATAATAAATGATCGTGTAGAGAATTGTAGAGTGTTGAAGAGAATATTAGAAGAGTAGAGAGTTTTGTAGAGTATGAAAATATAAAGATACTTTGGTGGAAAGTTTTGTAGAGTTTGAAAATATAAAGATACTTTGGTGGAAAGTTTTGGAGTTATCTCTTTAGTCATTGAGTGCATCACAACTATTATTAGGGAGAATGGTGCCTTGGGTGGGTTTGAGCGGATTTTCGGCTGGTCATGAATGATTAATAATCAGGCAAAAAAGCATAAAACCCTCATCAATTATAAAAAATCAGCATTTTACATATTTGAAATACAAAATCAAGTAAGTCAGTACCATAACTATCAAACAGTGTGCAACTTGCCCCATGTCAGTTACTTCCGGCTACTTTCCGGCCTACTACTCTAGCACGTGACTTATCTTTTTTTTATAATTCCAATATTGCCCTTCAATGTGACTGTTATAACCATTTTTCCTGTAAGAAACTCTTTCCATTTGTTTTAACAAACAAATCTGAAGCAAAAGGTTTAGGCGCAATTAGGTGTTTAATATTATATGTGCTAATTTATTTTACCTTATATAATTAGGAATTTAAAGGATCACAAAAAAGAAAAAAGAAGAAGAAGAAGTGAAAAGAAAAACTGTAATGATAAATAGTTATTAATATTTTCTTATAACTAAATTAAAGTTTTCAACTCTCTTATTTATTTATAATAAATCTTTTAGGAAAAAACTTTACTTTAAATATATATTTAAAAAAAAAAAAAATTATGATGAAGCCCCTTGTTATTCAAAGCAAAAAATGGTTCTCTGAGCAATACACATTGATTTAATAATCAATTGTTATACCTTTAATTAAGCAAAATAATAAATAAAAGTTAGGATTTCATTTCAATCTTCTTTAAAAGGTAGCTCCATAACCGTACTTCCCAACTTAAGACACCAAACATATAAATACAAATACACATATAAGACGTATACAGCATGAGAGGTATTGAGGGTATTTCAAAATTTTAGTTTTATTTGTCTTTTTTTAAATGTTAATTATAATAGGTATTTTTGTAAATGTACAATGACGTCGGACGGAAATGTGCCGGAAGTGACTGGCAAGGGCAATATGCACGTTTCTAATAGTTGTTGTACTGACTTGCTCGATTTTGTAGTTCAAATAAATAAAATGCTGATTTTTTTGATAGTTAAGGAGGTTTTATACTTTTTTGCCTAATAATTAACAACGTAGGAGTAATTTGGGTTCGGTTCAATGAAAATTATGGTATATATTAAGAACGTATGTATGAAATAACGTATATTATTTTGAACTACTTACAACTTACGTATAAACTATGAAGTCAATATGTATGGATTATTTTTTAAAATAGAAGTATACATATTACTTAGTCCCAAGACCCAACATATTAGTTGTGTAAAGACTTGATAGTTAGCATAAAGAATTGTGATTGACAAGGTTATTTGATTGTTTGCAACGGAATTGTTATACGCAAAAAATTTTCATTTTAGTCAACCAACTTCATTATTATGATCTATCTTCAATGGAATTGTTGTGTGCATATAAATTTTTCATTTAATCAACCAGCTTCATTGGTATGATCTATCTTCAAAAATCATGACAAATGGCATTTATAAAAAGTGAAGAATATAGTGAAATAATGTTATAAGTTACTCAAAAACTCGGATATGGGAGGAAACTAAAACATTTGATAGAGGTATCAATTTATTTATTATTAACTTTGTTACTTGTATTATCTACAACTATCCTCTTTTTAGAAATATATATATATATATATAACCAAAATTTTCATAATATTAACCTTTTAAAATATTGTAATTTTATTTATTATGATTATTTTTTAATATTCTTTTCATCTTTTCTTCATGATTTAAAATTTTTTAATGTAATTAAATATCATACTTTGTATTACAGATCTTCCAAGGAAAATCCATCAATTGCTATGACTGATGAAATAGGTTGATCAAGTGGATAGTGTATACATTTGTATCGGCCGGACGAAGTGGATAATGGATAAATCTAATACATTTGTATACATCCCGTGAGATTGCATAATATAATAATATATTTCGAATTATATATTAAACTATTAACATGGATGGTTTAACTATAAACACATTAGTAAAATAAAGTGAAAATTTGACCACCACAAATTTCTTATAAAATCTGAAATGAAATATTAATTAATAGCATTTTAAAATGAAATATTAATTAGTAGAATTATAGACGTATTGCGTCAATGGTATAAAAAAAATTAAAAATAAAAAAATGTCTAATTTAGTGATAACATACAGCATGAAAACAAATATATAACAATCAACAAAGATGAGCTATTTCAAAATTCTCTACCTCAAATCATAGTCCCTTTTAAAGAAGCATATTTTCAACAACCATTCACGTACTTGGGTATTTCTTACTGAAATAAAAATTGGAAACGGTACAAAAAGCCATAAAAGAACAATAGGTAAAAATTCCCATCAAATCATCAAAGATCAGCCGTATAAAACATATAAAAAGATCAATTAAAGGTGCTGTGAATTTATATAAGAATACCAAAAACAAAAATATAACCAATGTATATTTCTTTCAATAAATGATGACATACGCAGAATGGGTTAGAATTGTTATATATTCCATTATTACCAAAACAATTGTTCAAATGTAGGCATCAATTGCATTTGCAATTTTGAGGGAATAGATTTTAATTTGCGGTCCATTAAGTTAAAAATAAATAAATAAATAAATAAATAAATTTATAAATAAGCATCAGATTAGATATTTTTGGTAAAAAAAAACTTACATTACTCAAACAATGTTAGTTTTAAACGATAAGAGTCACTAAAAATGAAGTAAAATTTTAAGTGACAGGGAGTCAGGAACATCACTTATAATGTTGGAACGCTAAAAATTCAAAAACTATTATCGCTTAAAACCTTTCGTAGCTTTAAAAAAAAAAAAAAAATCTTCTTCCACCGAGACTTGAACCCCTGACCTCCTTTTGGGAAGTAAGAACCCGATATCGCTAGGTCACAAACCCTAAGAGGGCAAAAAGAAAGTGAACAGAAACCTTAAAGCGAAGTAAATATACACACACTATAGGAACAAAGGTGGGTGTGTGAATGTGTTTATGTCAATAAAAATAATAGAACGTAGTATTTCCCCTTTCCATTATTCCATTTCTTTTCCAATGTATAAAGAATGGCCAGAAGAAATTCAACATAAACCCCAATTTGATAGTTTAAAATAAGTGATATACTTTAATAAGGTAACAAATTATTGGAAAAAGGTGATTTATTCACGTCAAATATTGCATAGTTTTTTTATTTTTATTTTTATTTTTTTATTTCTTATATACATTATTAGATTTTTATACTTATATGTGATATCCTAAGATTTAATTAGGCATTTTAATCGTGTTTAGTGATTTTTAATTATGTTTAGTGGCTCTTAAACGTGCTATATGACTTAATCGTGCTTATGACTCTTAATCATGATTATTGACTTTTAATCATGATTAATGACATTGGGTATAAAGTATGATTTATTGAAGTTATGAGATTTTATTTGGAGGCATTTGTGTGATTATTTACTTAGTAGGGGGTGATATTGCAATTAAACCAAAATCTGACTTGGTGGTAGCCATGTGTCAAAACCATATGAGTCTTCCTAAAACCCGGGACTTATATCCCAACCCAAGAGACACGTCTCTGCACAACCTTACACCTATTGCTGCCTTCCTTTTGTTAAACCAAAAGTATAGACACAGAAAAACAAGAGAGAGAAAAACGAGAGGGAGAGAAAGGGAAACAGGAAAAAAGTTGTAGGATTCCATCTTCATAGTATCTTCATCATTCTTGGTTAGGGTTTTTTATAGCTTGAATGACTTTGAGTGATTTTGTTTCAAATTTCTTTATTGATTGTGAAAATAATTGTTGTGCTTAAATTACATATATGTGTATCTTGCTGATATATTCATAGGCATATTTATTTTATTTTAATTTTTTACCTTTAAAATGGTGATATGAAAATACATTTAAATGCTTCTTTCAAAGTTAAGCGATTGAATTATGACGGTGGCGTTCAATTCTTAAAGATAGTCGAGCTGACATATCACAATTGCTTCTTTCTTATTTGAGAATGTTGGTAATGCCATGGTGGGTAAGCTTTGGTGCTCGGGGAAGGGTTTGAAATGCTTTAAATATTATATTTAATGTCTATTCAAAATATGAGTAGATATTAGGTGCGCCGGACATACCATGTTGTTGATATGTTTGGTCAATAAAAATCAATATAACAACAGCTAGTTGAGAGCGGTCTTTAAAAATTAGTGGTACATAATTTTATAGAATAATGTATTTTTATTCGCTGAGCATACCAATAAAATGACATGCCCGACGTATTGAATATCTTCTTCCAAAACTAAAATGTTTTTAATGTGAAAAGATTTTATTTTATTTTTTCATATACATATATGATTTTTAATAGCAACACTATAATCATCAGTTCAATTAGGATACATACGAAATTAGATATATTTAATATTTGTTCTACCACTTTCCACTATCTTAATTATATTTTAAATTATTTGATTAAATATAATAAATATTTATATCTTGATTTTATTATTAATGGATTCATTTTTTGGCATAACTTGAACACACCCACCTTGACTATTCGAAGAATTTAGTTACATGTATCACCAAAAAAAAATTCTAAATTTTAATATGTAATAAATCCGCTCCTCTTATTTATATAGGTACAAACTCAGATAATCTCCGACGTGGTTTTTATTATTTGCCTTTACATCACAACAACTTCACATCGCTGATGCAAATTATTGTTAATGCAATACTTTGCATCACTTATGCAACAACTCTGTTGCATAATTGTATCACGATGGTGCATTTTGTGATATAGCTATTCCATTACGATGTAGTATGTTATATTACTAATACATAATTAGTGCACGTGACCACTACACATGAGGGGACTCGGTGTAATTTTTTTTATATACATATGATTTCTCAATATACAAGTTTAACAGTAACACTATAATGTCTTCAATTAGGATACATACAAAATTCGAATTATTTAACATTTGTTGTACCTCTTTTTGCTATTTTAATCATATTTCTTTTGCCAATTATTTGATTAAATATAATTAATTTAGATTTTTTAAATCATTATATCTTGATTTTATTATTAATGGATTCATGTTTTGGCATAGTAATTCGAATACACCCAGTTTGACTATTGGACGAATTTAGTTATATGTATCAACGAAAAGTTTTTCTAAATTTTAATACATTGTAATTATACTTCTATTATTTATACAGGATCATCGTCTGTGTGGTTTTCATTATGTACCTTTACATCATAACAAATTTACATCGTTAATGCAATATTTAGCGTTACTTGTGTGACAACTCCGTTGCATAATTGTTTCATGGTGTTGCATCTTATGAAGTAGCTATTTCATTACGAGTTGATAGTTAGCATGAAGAATTGTGATTGGCAATGTTATTTGAACGTTCGCAATAGAATTGTTAGTTGCATAAATTTTTCATTGTAATCAACCAACTTTATTAGTGTGTGCATAAAATTTTCATTTAATCAACCAGTTTCATTGGTATGATCTCTTCAAAAATCGTGACAAATGGCATTTATAAAAAGTGAAGAATGTAGTGAAATAATGTTACAAGTTACTCAAAAACTTTTTACATTTTTATCATGCATTTTGTTATCACCAGTGTTATTTCGATGATATATAGGAGGAAACTAATACATTTGATAAAGGTATCAACTTATTTATTATTGAATCTGTTATTTTTATTATCTAAAACTATTTCTCTTTTTTAGAAATATATATATTTTATCATAAATTTTTTGATAATATTAATAACTTTTCAAAATATTGTAATTTTAACTATTATGATTGATTTTTTAATATTCTTTTCTTTTTTTTCTTAATGATTTAAAATTTTCTAATGTAATTAAATAACATTCTTTGTATTACAGATCTATTGGGAGGAAAATCCATCAATTGATAGTGCAAAATGGAGTGCATAATTGATTCATCTAGTGCATTTGTACAGACGCGTGACTAAATGGTATATGATCCCTAATATATATAATAATGTATTACGGATTATATATCAAAACATTCACAGTTGGGATGGTTTAACAACCAATTAATTAGTATGGGATATCATACCTATTACAATTGATTTATGAACGTGTATAATGATATTAGATCTTTAAAAAAGGGTTACGACCGAATCGATTACTCTCTTTTCAAAACAATTGTTCAAAAAGTTATCTCCCTCTTTTGAATTTCTTTTATAACTTGTCTGGGAGGCATTGGTTGTATGATGGAGTTGTAAAAATGAAAATACAGAAATTAATTATTTTCTTCACAAGGATTTCAACTAATTTTCATCAAAACCAAACTAATGCACATATGAGCCTTTTTAAATTGAGCATTTGGAGTTAGAGAATAGATTTTAATTTGCGGTCCATTGAGTTAATAAATAAATAAATAAAAGTCTTTTATAAATAAGCATTTGATTAGAAATTTTGGGCTAAGAAAATATAACTATAGTTTTTTTTGGTAAATAAAATATAACTAAAGTTAATCTCCAAATATTTACCATCTGTCAAAAAAACTTACATTACTCGAACAAAGTTTGTATTAAATCCATTTGAGTCAGGAGTTTTATTAGGAAATGAATCTTGAAATAGAGGTAGGTAAGGAAATGAATCTTGAAATAGAAAGGGCTACAACAAACAACAAATTGTAGCCCAGAATGTAATGAAAATATTGCATAATTTTCTGTTTAACTAAAGTTGGATCATTCATCCCCACTCGCTTAGCTGATGCTTATAAACAACAAATTCGCCTAACTTTGATGCTTCTAACGAAAAAGATATAACTTTTTTATCACCATGGCAAGGCAAAAAAAAAAAAAAAATAGCGTTTTTGTTGTGGAATTTGTTCATTTGTGATTGGAAGCATGTTTGTTAACAAAAAAAATCTATTACAAGATTTTTGAAAGCAAAAGTATAAAACATAATAAATAAATGTTACAAAATTGAGTAATAAAATGACTAAAAAAAGTCTGTTATAATGTTTTTGCTACAGTGCAATTTTTTTGAGAAATACCAATTATTATTATTATTATTTTTTCTTCTATTGAATTTCTTTTCGACAATAAACACCACTCACAACGCAAAACACAGAACAAAAATGATTGTCATACCCGCCCTTAAAAGAATGATTCTTAATGGTCTTTAAGACGTGCAAGCGTGAATAACATATATATATATATATTAACTCTTAACTTTGTGTTCTTAGGATTTAAAGAGAGACAGTCACTGAAATGGTTATGGTAGAATTCCTAAGCAATTGAAGGCCCTGCTTGGATTGATTCTTCCAAAATATTTTTCTGTTTTTATAGTTACAAAAAACTAAAAACTCCTAAATTGGTCTACTTGGTTCTGTTTTTTAAAAACTGTTTTTGAAAAACTGAGATAAATGAGTTAAGGTTTTTGGAGAACAACTTTGGGCTGTTTTCTGAATTTTCTAAAACCTTTTATTAGTTAAGGGAAAACACGGAGAACACTTTGTTCGCTTAAAAAAAATGACGGACCCTTCTCGTTTATAACCTCAGCCATACAAGCCCTCCTTACAATCTCTCTTCAAGCATTTTCTCTCAAATTTCTTAGTTACAGTCTCTCTTTAACCCATCTTTCAGTTTCTTGAACCTCGTCTAATGATGGTCGATCTGCGCTTCTCTGCCTACAGTTGTCTCTCTTCGTTCGGGTAAAACTCTCTCACAAATTCATTGATATTCCGTGGTTGTTCACACTTCCGATTTGGGTTGAGGGTTGATGATTTTCTTTGGTTGTGTTGGATTTTCTGTGGTTGTTTACACTTCCAATTTTATGTGCTTTGGTTAAGGATTAATTATTTGACCTGTTGGATTTGGTTGTGTTGGGTTGAGGTTTGATTATTTACTTTAGTTGTTAACACTTTCAATTTGGTTTGATTGTCTACAATTTGAACTGTTTGTAATCTTATTTAATTATGGTTAGATAACAAACACCACTAAAAACCCATTAAGGATTTGAACTCTCCCCAATCTTTCTTGATATTGGTATGTGATTATTCATATTTGGGTTCTCTGTTGAATGTGAATAGGATAATTTTATTGGATAATTTCCTCCTCCTTTTTTTAAATTTTTTTAATTAATTTGCATCATTTATTGACTTTTGATTTCCGGTCTCTGTTATTTTATATTTGTTCAATCTTGGTATAACGACCCAAAAAGATACCAAAAGAATAATAATAATAATAATAATAATAATAATATATAAAATTTTCGGCATGACCTCCGTAGAAAAAGTCCCTCTACAACCTGTTGAAGTACATAAAAATGTAATGGCCTCTCTTGGACCTTCAAAACTAATTTAACCTGTCCCAACACACCATGCAAATAATACATTTCAACATTTCTTTCATCCATTCATTATGCCTCAACATAGCTCATTTTATGGTGCAGCAACCACATACCATTTAATCCAAATATCATAATTACAGTCCCAAAAACATAGCTAAGATCAAAATTCCATGTCTTACAATATTTAGACAACGTTTATTAAAGTTACAGCCCTTGAATATAATTTTTTTTTTCCTAAAGGACAGAAATTATATATATATCAAGTTAAAAGTACAATTACACACGAGGAGAACCCTCAAAATATCCCACAAATAGAGGGATACAGCCAGAAAACCCTAGATAACATAGAGATTCAAGACACTATGATATCCTGAAGGCATACCCTCAAGACATCCATATCATCCCAAATAATACGTTTAACCAAAATAATATAGTCTCTAGGACCCTCATAATGTAAACGACGATTTCTTTCATTCCAAAGGAAATACAAAGTGGCAGAAAACACCATCCTAAGCATCTTGTTTCTGAAAGAGTTAATCTCCAATTGTTGCACTAATGTTGTCTTAAATCTCTCCATGGATAAGCAATCTGTAATGTCCCAACTTAGAATCTCCCCCAAACTAGACCATACCTTCTTTGCATACACACACTGACAGAAAGCGTGTTCAGTACTCTCCACATTCACCAAACAGAAAACACATATAGACACTAACTGAACTCCCCTTCTTTGTAGATTAGAATGAGTCAAAATCCCTTCTTAAAGAGTTAACGTTGCACGAATTGACCATCTAGGTCTTCCCCTATTCCAACGCAATTTAACCTAACTAACTTATGGTTTAGAGCTCCTACAAACCTCTCACGCAGCTCTAAATTTAAACTCTTCCCTTTGCCACAACACCTTATCTGATCCACCAAGAATATTGAACTGTTTACAGAACTAAAGTACCTCCTGAAGCTCATCAAAAAATTTAGACATATCCTATGAGTTATTTGTAATTAAATAATTTAGGGCTGTGTCCTTCACATGATTCAAAGTTCTCAACATCCTATAACTAAATCTCTGGGATAAAAAACCTTCACACCAGGGATCTAAGAACAATTCAATGGAAGAACCATCACCAATTCTATAACTGCAGCCTACCAACATCATCTCCCTTACTGCAACAACATTCTTCCAGATAGATGAGTATGAATTACAAACCACAGCCTTCCAATAAGTTGTATTCATAACATAGTAATTTCTAAACCAAGCCACCCACAGCCTATCCTTTGAGATCAGAAAGTTCCACGCCAGAGAACACTTTGCTGCTCTATCAATATCCATTAATCTTCTGATACCAAATCCCCCTTCAGCTTTAGGAGAAGTAATTTTCTTCCACCCTAAACCATGGAGCTTTTTAACATTATCCACATGCCCCTAAATGAAGTTTCTCATCCTTCTCTTAATAGTATTGATCACTGTGGTAGGCAAAGAAAACACAGACGTCCAATAATGCACCAGGGGAGTGATGACTGCCCTTACCAATTCCACTTTCCTAGCCAAAGACAGGTTCAACCCTGCCCAAGTAGTGGTAGCTGCTATCATTTTCTCTGTAAGTGGTTTATAGTCTCTAATCTTCATAGCCTTATCAGAAATAGGAAGTCCCAGGTACTTGAATGGAAGTTTGCCTAGCTTGCATCCCAAGAGAGATAATACAGATTTGCTTCTCTTTACTGTCTTTGTTAGATAAACTTCAGACTTTTCTTTGCTAACCCCCAGACCAGAGCTAATTTCAAAATTGTTCATAAGCCTCTTCAAAGTCACAACACTGCCCAAATTAGCTCTAACCACTACCAACAAATCATCTGCAAAGAACTGATGTGAAACAGGTACCCCAGCCTTTCTAGCAGCCTCAGAAATCACTAATGTACCTCTGTTAACTTCAAATGCAAACATACTTGAAAGGTATTCTATCACCAAGGTAAATAAGAGGGGAGATAAAGGGCAGCCTTGTCTCAATCCCCTACTTGGTTGAAAATACCCTGCAGGACTACCATTAATCAACAAAGAGAACCATAAGTTGAGATACACTCTTTTATCCACCCAATCCATCTAGTACCAAAGGCAAACTTATTCAGCAACTGGAACAAGAAGTCCTATTTTACTGAATCATAAGCCTTTTTGATGTCCACTTTCCATGCAATAGTTGGTTTTGTATGCTTGTGTCAAAAACCTTTCAACAACTCATGAGCCAAAATGATATTATCTTGGATTTTCCTTCCCTTGATAAAAGCATTTTGTTCTTGTCCCACCAAATTTCCAAGAGAATCACTAAGTCTAACTGCTAGAATTTTAGTGATGATTTTATACAGAACATTGCAGAGGGAAATAGGTTAGAACTCCCATACTTTAATAGCTTCTTTCTTCTTTGGTATAAGAGTAATGAAGGTGCTGTTAATACCTTTGCCAATAACTGGATTCTGAAAAAAATGCAGCACAGCCTTAGTGACATCCTCTTCCACAATTCTCCAAAACTGTTGGTAAAACCTGGGTGTAAAACCATTAGGTCCCGGAGCTTTATCAGCCCCTATTCCAAATACAGTTTGATTTACCTCTAACCTGGTGATAGGAGCCTCAAGAGCAGTAGCTTCTACCACTATCAGTTTTTTCCTAATAAAATTTTCCGATACTTGACTATCAGTGCAGTTTGGTTCAGTAAAAAGGTCCCTGAAGTGATTAATCAGCCTGTCCTGAATGATGTTTGTATCATAAGTGAGAACTTCATCCCATCCTCCAACACAGTGATGTTATTACATGTTATGTGTTGCTTGATCCTTTGATAAGAAAAACTTAAAATTTATGTCAAGATCCTTTACCCATCTAATTCTAGCCTTCTGAGCAAGAATTACAGCCTCATTGGTTAATGCAGATTCAAACTCTATCCTAGCATTAAATTCCTTTTGAATACTATCAGTATCCATTGGCTTTTGCTGTACATCCATTTGGCAGGCCTCAAGGTTACTTCTGGCTTTGTATACACCCTCAAACATAGAACCAAACTTCATAGCATTCCAATTTTTAACAACAGCTTTTGTGATCTTCAGTTTCTGCCACAAGATCTGAATTGGATCCCCTTTTACTTTCCTCTTCCAAGCTTCTTCCACCACTTGAGTAATAATAGGTTGAGCATTCCACACTTGAAAAAACCTGAATGGTTTAGGACCCGAAGCTATGTTATCTTGACACTGCACACACAATCCCCAGTGGTCAGAAATTAAATGAGGGGTTAACAGTACTTGTGAAGCAGGAAAAAAGTTATGCCAGGCATCATTCATAAAAGCTCTATCCAATTGGCCATAAATCCTATGTTTGCCATACTGATTGTTACACCATGTGTGGCTTCCATTCAATACTGGTATGTCAGTAATGCCTAAAACATCAATTAACTGATTAAATTCTCTGAGAACCCAGGAGGATGATCTTTCCCACCCTTCTTTTCATGATTATCCCTCACAATATTCCAATCACCAATTAAAATCCAAGCCCTGTGTACTATTTGATAAAAGTGTAGCAAATCTCTCCATAACTGCCTTCTTTCGACTATTGAGTTTGCCGCATAGACAATTGCTGCAAAAAACTTCCCTTCTCTAGCTCTAACTGTGACTTCCAGCAATATAACTTGAGCCCTAATATCATGGATCTGGACATCAAACACCAAAGGATCCCAACCACACCATATCCTACCACCATGATGAGCACTATAGTTATTTATCCATCTCTAATTTTGTTTGAGTCTCTGTAAGATAGCTTAGAATATAGACTCATGCACTCTAGTTTCAACCAAACCAACCAAAGATAAGGGGAATTTGCTCAACCAATTCTTGACTTCCAATTGCATCTGTTTCATGTTGAGCCCCCTTACATTCAAAGACCTATCATTAAGTCAAAGGATCTGGTGGGTTTGCAGCCACCATCCCTCTAGTAAGTCTAATGTTCTCTGTGTCAATCTCAACCTTCTTATTTTTTTTTTTATTTTGCTTTTTGGACATGACTTGATTAGTTCCAGATTGCTCCCCAACTTTAAATCCCTCCTCCTTTGAACATAATGGATTGGATACATAGTTATTAGGACAATTTGATTTAACAACACCCTCCTCCTTCATATCAGAGATAGGTAAAACCACATTCACATTGTCATCAGAAATTGTTTCATTAAGAATAATGGTATTCACCTTAGCACTAACTGAAAATGCTTCCTCCAGTGTAAGACTTGCCAATGGATAGTACACTCCCTTTTCTGTTGGCTTCTGATTTCTTACTTCTACTGAAGGTACATTGTCCAATTCTTCACACACCATCAACTGGTTAGACTCAGCTTTTCC